AAATTAACAAATTAAAAAACACAGATATAATTCTGAATGACCAACTTGAGACAAACAGTTCTCCCCTCCTCAACCTATTTCATTAGAGACTATAAATTTGTAAACCCAAGCCAAAATAGATCACTTGAGAAAGGCAATCAGCCGAAACAGGTGTAGTGATAATATTTAAAATAAATTTTGTGGAAGTTTGAAAACAAAGTTTTCAGTGTTTTATTGTTACATAAAATGAATTTCCATCAAGTAAGGTCGAATCCATCAACAAACTGTTACTTATTTCTTTTATATTTTGATGTTCACCTTATCTTTCTTAACTGCTTATAATGTTCTACTCATACTATCTCGTGCAATATATGCAACTAAAATCTAGATTAGTATTATGATAACTAATATTTGGATTTATATACCTACTGCATTACTGATGATTATGATATCTTATCTTTTATAACTTAATGATTATATGCATATCTAGTGATATTGCTAATATCATAATTACCTATGTTTAAAATTAGCTTCCCTTAAGAACTAACGTTCTTGAAAGAATGTCTTTCTAACGATGTTTATCTACATGAGTGATAGATACATCGTCCCCATATTAGTTGTTTTTGTATGATATATATGTAATTACATATATATGGGACCGAACTGTGGTGGAGATGTACATTTATACCACTGGATCTTCCTTTAATGGTAAGGTTGTCTTTAGGGTATGGCGTCGGGGGGTTAGTACACAGGACTGTCGTCTCTGAGGAGCGCTTTCGAGGTTTAACCATGGATTATGGGCTACTGCGTTCATACCAACATGATTTCAATCGGCCCAGTGTATAATCGATGTACAGTACCAAAGGTTGCGGATAACCCTTAACGTAGCTTTTCTCCCTCTTGGTCTACGACCAATTTTATTGTGACGAATACTATAATTCGTTGGGGATGAAATAATACCCAGAGTTCTCACTCTAGTTTATAATTATGTTTATAATTATGTAGTTAAAATTTTAGTTTAACGGATACTATAATTCGTTGGGTGATAGTCATTTATTTTTTGACTTAGGTTAATATAAGTATATTAATTTTTATATCTTATAACAATATTGTTCTGAAGCTATTTTCTTGTGGCATTGTAAATTAATTACTATTAAACTGGGAATAAGCCACAATTAAAGATAAAAATACGTCTATTGACGTTTCAATTTCCACTTCGGAAATCGTTCTCAAAATACAAACAGTAAATTAAACAAATTTTGTTTTTTGTTACATAGTGAAAAATTCTTCTAATAATTTAATTTTATCTGACTCATTTATATTGACAATTCAGACATACATTATGCATTTTAAAGTAGACGACTTTAAAATGATATTGCAAATATTGTTGAGTTGCGCTCCTGGGACGACTTTACTTATAAGATAGTTCATTCGATTATATGAAATCAACTTTAACTTGAGAATATTCGTCAGAAAAACAATCATAGCATGTAATTCGTCTTTAAAAAGACAAACACATGACATGATGACAGTAAAATTCTCCTGTTAGTGATTCCATAGTAAATTATGAGGGAAAAACCAGGAAAAAAAACCTCATAATACTATTTTTAAAGACGAATTACATGCTATGATTTTTTTTTCTGACGGATATTCTCAAGTTAAAGTTGATTTCATATAATCGAATGAACTATCTTATAAGTAAAGTCGTCCCAGGAGCGTAACTCAACAATATTGGCAATATCATTTTAAAGTCGTCTACTTTAAAATGCATAATGTATGTCTGAATTGTCAATATAAATGAGTCAGATAAAATTAAATTATTAGAAGAATTTTTCACTATGTAACAAAAAACAAAATTTGTTTAATTTACTGTTTGTATTTTGAGAACGATTTCCGAAGTGGAAATTGAAACGTCAATTATCTCAAGGTTATACTCGTGCTTCAATATCTATGCTTTACATGTGATAGGTAAGGTCCGAAGAGTACCGGAATAATAAAAAACATATATGATACAACATTATATATTGAAATAAAAATATATTGAAATAAAATTCACACTTAAATATCTTCAATAAAAATTTCTCATATAATGATTATCAAAATTTTGTTCTACGTACGTGAACCTTCAAAATTACCTTAATGGTACATACAATATATACCTTAAAAGTACCTTAATGGTACATACAATATAAATTAAAATCTCAAATCAAAATTGTTGTTCTAAATCTGCTGATCAAAATATCCCTATCTTTTCTAAAGCAATTGTAAAAATGTGTGTTGTTAATAAAGAAAAAACTGATGAATAGTAAAACTATCTCTCTGATAATGAGTTGTCCAAATTCTTGTTCCTTGTAGCCTAAACTATCTATTCTTAACAGTCCCTTGGTAATCAGCAATCTTACAACAAATTGTTGCGAACCTATCGTCTTTAATGATCTCCTTCAAATGCACGTATCGTTCAAATTATGCTAGCCTCTTGTCCTCTCGATAAACTGAATCTCTCGTTCTGACCTGAACAGTGACTCTTGGAATATAAGTAGAAAATTATAACTTACAATATTTTACTGGATCAGCTTCTGTAAGATACACTAACTCCACGAAAACTTACAAACATTTACTTCTACTGCTACCTACCTCTGGGAACCACCAGAGAACAACCACTGTTCGCCCTCTACCCTTGGAAACCAACCGATTATCTTTTCTCCTTCAAAATCTAGCTAAACTCCCATTCTTACAAACCATCCCACTTTTTTCAATCTCCCCAAATCAAAGCTGGCCATACGTATCCCCATCATTTCATTTAGATAACAAAAAAACAATTCTACCTACCAAGATAATGGACTTTCACTTCTTCGAAATATCTTTTACAGTTTGTTAGTCGAATTATTTGAATTATTATATTTTGTACTTTGAAATATATTAAGAGCAAACCAATATTATTTTCAATTTTACATAGCATAACAATATATATATATATATATATATATATATATTATATATATATATATATATATATATATATATATATATGTTTTTTATGGGTTGGAGTCGATAAAAGGGCTATTGGTAAACTATCCCTTATGTCAAGCTTTCAATTGTGTTTACAATCTTTACAGAAAGGGACTACTGTTTTTCGATGTTTTACAACAAAATTTTATTTTTTGGCAATATAATTGTCAAAAATGAAAATTGTAAGTTGGCATTCATAACATTGAGGCTGTTTGTAATTGGTCGCTATTCTAATTTATTTACAAATTCAATTATTTTTGTTAACCCCCTCTGTGGCTCAGTGGTAAGAGCGCCTACCTTTAAACCTAAAGGTCGTGAGTTCGAATCTCACTTGGGTGGAGAAATTTTCGTTTATTAAAAATTAATGAATGAAAATAATTTCTATCCTTGTGCGATCGGTACTCACCAGAGGGACCGCAGACGTTCGGATACAATTAGCGTCTCTTAGCAAAGACAATGACGTCGACTTTGCTAAGTATCAAGACAATTACTCTACATACACACACACTACACTAGGTACCTGACTGTACCATGCCAATGATCTTTAGTTGTCGAGGCATTAACTCAATAAAAAAAATATATTTATGTTAAAAAGTATTTCAAAATTACTAAATTTAGAGAAACATTCATTTAATATTTTTTAAAATAGTTTTTTAACATGTTAAGCAGTTTAAATTTAATAACAAAACTAATTTTATTTGGTGAGATAAAATTTATTTTTCTAGTTTCACTTTGTAATATTTTTTGTATTTTTTAGAAGCTCTTGATAAAGATTGTATACACAATTGAAAGCTTGACATAAAGAATAGTTTACCAATAGCCCGTTTATTGACTCCAACCCATAAAAAACATATTTATATATTTTTTCCAAACGAGTCACAAGTACTTCTTTTTTCTTACAATTTATATATATATATATATATATATATATATATATATATATATATATATATATATATATATATATATTGATGATTCTGAGAATAATACAGAACCAATAACTTTATATCGTAATATTAATTTATACAGGTTGTTTAATTTGTATTTTTTATTAAACTTTATTATTTATGTCCTTTAGTGAACAACTTACGTTACTGACAAAATTATAGTACACTTTTTTTAAAGGGGTGTATTTGTTGATTCGGGATTGATTATTTTTTTTGTTTTGTCCGGACATACCGATTCCGTGATTCTTTTCATTTATTTATTTTTTTGCTTATATGAAGAGTCAATATATGTTTAGTTTACTTTAAGGCTCATTTTATTACTTGTCTGTTCCGAAAATAAAACATTCTTAGCAGAGGAATAGTCCCTTGAAAAGAACTTGCGCCCATTCTTACACCTGTTTTGGTCAAAAGAACTCCGAACCACTAGGCTGTCTGGCAGGGTTCAGCTAGCCGGACACATCCCTTGTGTTCCCTTCTTATTGCTAGTGGCTTGAAAGGTGGGGGTGATATGCTGTATGTCAAAAGTTAAAAATTTTAAATATGACTACGTCGTTAGTCACAGAATCTTATCAAAGCTAATTATAATGTCCAAATCATCGTCATATCATTCTGACTTTACAACCCTGTGTGGGTCCTAACCTCCTAGCGAATTTTTCTCCAATCGTTCCTATCTAGCGGCTTCTTCACCAAGCACGTATTCCCATATTTCTCGTCAGCATCGATGTTATCAAGGAACATTGTTCTAGGTTCTTCTTCTCTGACCAATGGGTCTATTAAGGATATTTTTTTCTAGCTGAGTCAGTTTGTTCCATCAACTTTACATACCCTACCCACTTCCTATCTTAATGTATTTTACGATAATTGGTACCTAGTATATTTTTTAAAGTTAGAAGTTGTACACACTCTCTCCACACTCCATTGTCATTCACCTCTTCATATATTCGCCTTGGTACTTTTCTTTCGAAATATCCTAACATGTTTTATTCAAAATGTATAGATGATAAAGACAGAGAAAGATAATAAACAAATAAAATCACTGATATCTAAAATTAAACAATATCTTACCATGAAATATGGTAACTCAAAGTAGACCCAAATGCTCTAACTTCATTATTGATCTTCATTTCAATATCTACCCTTTTATGAGTTCCATCAATTATATGTTTGGCTTTGGCGATCAGTTCGTTATCCAATCTTTGTTCCAACTGGAAGTCTTGAGCCACAGAACCTCCCTTGATATTGACACCAGGTCGCATATGCAGAGCGTTTTGCAAAATTAGATTAAGGTTTAGGGATTTGGCTTTTTGCGATCCATTTTCAACAGCTTTGAGAAGGTCGGTTCGTCCAACTAATTCTTGATAGGTGCGGACCTAAAATTAGATAAAAATATTGTTGCTTTTGTATTTAATTTTTTTTACTAAAGATAATTTACAATTTATAAGATTTCATCTAAAAACTTACACCAAGGTTGGCCATATGTGCTCGCACTTCTTCAGCAAGCATAAACAAGTAGTTTATAACGTGTTCAGGTTGGCCTGTGAATTTCTTTCTTAGCACAGGATCTTGGGTAGCAATTCCAACGGGGCAAGTATTCAAGTGACACTTTCTCATCATGGTACAACCCATAACAATGAGCGGGGCTGTACTGAAACCTATCTCATCAGCTCCTAGTAAAGCAGCCACCACTACATCAAAACCTAAAAGCATATTAGCATACTTTTCATTAACACGTGATAAATAGATTTACATAAAAGGACAGCTGAATCCGTGAAAAATGCGGTCTGCTGACAGACTCGCTATTTTAATTTCATTATATTTAACCAGACTTACCTGTTCTTATATTACCATCAGCCTGGAGTACAATCCTGGATCTTAAATTATTCAAAACCAAAACTTGATGTGTCTCCGCAATACCCAATTCCCATGGCAATCCAGCACTCTTGATACCTGTCCAAGAGCTGGCACCTGTGCCACCGTCATGTCCAGAAACGACGATATGTTCTGCTTTACCTTTAGCTACGCCGGAAGCCACAACTCCCACTCCAACTTCCGATACAAGCTTGACGGAGATTCTCGCTATTGGATTAGCACATTTCAAATCGTATATCAATTCTGCCAAATCTTCGATGGAGTAGATGTCGTGGTGGGGAGGAGGAGAAATAAGACCAACACCTGGAACTGAATGTCTGGTCTTTGCTATGTCGGTGGATACTTTATACCTAGAAATTCAGAAAGGAAAAATGTAAGAAAGATTATATTTTATTTTATAAACATGAATACTTGCCCTGGAAGTTCACCTCCTTCTCCTGGTTTGGCACCTTGAGCCATCTTAATTTGTAAGTCATCAGCATGGGCCAAATACGAAGATGTAACACCGAATCGACCAGAAGCAACTTGTTTGATAGAGGATCGTTTGTCCCGGTCTAGATATCTTTCCGGATCCTCACCTCCTTCTCCTGTATTACTTTTGCCTCCAACTTTATTCATAGCTATAGCGAGTGTCTGGTGTGATTCCAAACTAATAGATCCAAAGCTCATAGCTCCAGTAGCAAATCGTTTAACGATCTCTGAAGCAGGCTCGATTTCATTTAATGGCAGAGGCTGGTCGAGAGTTCTTAAGTTCAAGCGGCCACGTAACATACAGTTTCTTACTGATTCCATATTTGATTCTTTGAATTTTTCGTAAGCAGTTTTGTTATTGTTAACTGCTGCTTC